TGGGGATCCGTCTGTGTAACATACTAAGCTTCCTTAGCGAAACTCCACTGTATTCCTTTCCCATTTTTCTCTGCTTGGAATAGTAAGTTTGAACTTCCTATTCCATCTCAGCCTGTCCTGCACTTTATTTACTCTGAGAGTGGAGATGAATCTCCTGCTCCACCCACTTTGCTATTTTTGCATGTCCTGTTATTGTCCCTTCACTTGCTTCATTGCTTCCTTCTCCATCCAGATTTGAAGTGGTGGTAGTCCCAGCATTACTTCTAATGATGCCGTTGGCGTCGTCCTCATTGCACCTGTTATTGCCGACCCATAATGGATCTTTGGTCTTACGAATGCTGTGTACAGCCAGCGCATAATCTCGGGGTTGATTATGGTTTATGGTTCTTACTAATCAGAACTTGACATTCTTCCAGGTGTCCCGCAAAGGTCTGTACTGGGTCCATTGCTTTTTATCATATATACCAATACGCCAATATTATAAATGAAATAGAACAATGTAAAGTACAGGATTTCGAAAACTTTTGCTGATGATACTCAGCTGTATTTTATCTTTCGTACTGAAGATTTCGCTTTTGCAGGAGAAATAATGAACAATGAATTGAATAGAATTGAGACATCTTCATATGAAAACAACGTGAAACTCAATTCTAAAAAATTCAAGGTACTCTATTTTGGTAGAAAAATAACATAATCTTCTAATAGTCTCAATCTACAAATTGATGATATCCCATCACAAGTCTGTGATTCAGCAAGAAATGTTGGTTTAGTACTAGACTCTGAAATGCGTTTTGCTCAGCACCTAAAAATATTGTTGTGAAGCTCTCGTAGGTATCCTTAGAGATAGTTTGTTTTGATGAGCTCTAATCATCTGGCAAACCTTTAAAAATACCCTGTATATATAGATAATACCTCTTTTTCATTACATTTTACAAGGTTGCATCTATAATTTTTTTCGTGTCCTTCGAAATTTGAAAACACCCTGTATGATTTCCATATACTCGTTTATATTATTTGCGTCATTTCCTTTATTCATCCTCTGAACAACTTATTGTTTATTTCGTTTATATTACCTATGATATTACGCCTTTGTGAGGCAGATTCTTCCTTCGGTATATTTACATTTACCTTTTCATTTTGTCAAATGAATCCGTAGAACCGAGGAAAAATATCACAGAGAAAAGACAAATTATCTACCGTTTTGTCGTTGTAGCTGGATGGCAACTTTTCCTTTAGTTCCCTTTTCGTTCCGACATTTCAAAAGATGAGTCTCCCCAGTGGAGTTTTTTTCGTGGAAGGGTCCTCGAGACTTGTTATCCCAATATATAAAGAAATACTTTGAGAATTCCCATTCTCTATGTGATGAAAATATCCATTCTTTCTCGGTATGTGAATACCAATTTGCCATACATCCAAAAGCAAGTCAAACTGTATTTGTTTTGTTTTTTTTTGAAGGTGGTTGAAATCCTTCATGGATACTGCGAAAGACCAGTCGAACAGTCAAGTGCTCATTCCCGAAAGCGATTTTACTAAATATACTGTACGCTAGCACATACCACGCCCACCGTTATATCTCATCTTCAAAGTGCTTTACTTAGGCAAAACTCAGAGACTATTTATCCTCAACGAACTACAATATTTTTGAGGAAGGAAAACCGAATGGAGTGTAGAAACACATTGATTAATAATATATTTCAAAAGTTGAGTTCTTCAACAAAATTGAATAAAATGAGACTGTTTATCCTAAACGCACTAACCTATTTGACTTCAAATATTTTATGAAAAAGGAAAACCAGAATGAAGTAAAAAAATATTGGTGAAAAAAAAAAGTTGCAAAAAAAAGTTCACAGCGATTCGAACCATGGACCTTCAGACCGAAAGTCGACAGCGCTAACCAGTAGACCATTTGGGTGTATGAATTTACTGCGTACAAGAGATTGACAACGAGAGAGCTTCAGTCGAATTCGTGTCAAAATATTAAAAAGTGTATTCTTGCGTTGGAGCACAGTATATTTAGTGCGATGTTCTGACTCCGAGTATATCGGTAATGTTTGGCGATATGACGTATTATGGTGGGCGTGGTTTGTGCTAGCGTGCAGTATATTTAGTAAAATCGCTTCCCGGAAAATGTAATTGCTAATGTGGCAACTATGTTTACAAGAGAAAGCAGCTGGCGCTAACACAATGTTGCCAAATTAAGATACCTCTTCCTCAAAATAACTTCATTGTTCTCATTTCTCAATATAATTAACAAGAAGGCGCAGTGATGCTTGTACTAAAATCAAACCCCACCGACGCCGCGCGGAGCGGGATATACTGCAGTTGATTTCGGACATACTGCAACCACTTATGAGGGCTATGTTCTATACCATATATATCCACTATCCACCTATCCTCACCCAACTCTTCTACATAGAGAATCTCTCAATTCAAATTATCAAAAGTTGGTTTTCAATTTTTCAGTTTTTCAACACAATTATTAATGTGAACCCCCCCTTCATCTTCTTCGTTTTCTTTCCATTCAAGAAGATTCAAAACTGACTTTTTCACGATACTCCATATTGGTATCAATCATATTGAGAGAGTGTTGCAATATCTCTTCGTATATACAGGGTATACAGAAATATATTGACTTTTTTATATGGAATGCGCTGTATATTTTAATAGATGAAGATTCTTCTATATATATGTTCGAAATCAGGATGATTCAGGCAATTCAAATCTATGGAAATATACAGGGTGTATTATTTGAAAAATATATTTATTTCTGTATACACTGTATATTTGAATATTTATTGCATCATTGTCAAAATGAGTGAAATATGTGCGAAAAATTGTTTAAAATCAGTTTTGAAATTTTTTGAATGGGTGGAGAACAAAAAAGATAGAGGGGGGTTCACATTAATAAAACTAGCCCTGTACATGACTGTCAGAGTCGTTGATTAGAAATCAATCTGTCGACGACCAGACCTACAGCTAGCAATCTTGCGCAGTTAAATTAGAAAATTGGTGGAAGTCTATATTGCTCAAAGTGGAGTTAAATTTTTCAAAGGAAGGAAGGAATGCTCGTCATCTCCACAAATTACAATCGTATTGTTACACAAGAAGGGCCATGTCTCGGTCTTATAAAAGACCATCATCAGCCCAATTAAAAGTTCTACAACACAAACAGATTAATGTGAAAGAATTACATCATTTCGTCTTGACTTGTTTGACTTTCTCCTAGTAAGTGGTTTCAATAAATTTGAATATTAAAAATTTTCTCAGTTCACAGCAATCAATATTTAGAGTGGTGGTAATATGTACTAATTTCCTTCATTGGTATGTTCATACCATCGACCTTACGAGAGTTCCTTCTGCCCAAGTGTGTTCTGTGCAGGTTTTGTTACTAACTCCATACGCCACCTTAGGAGCAGCACTGTTGATTGGAACGCAACAGCGAATCGTGCGGAATCATCTCCGGCCACGGCTGCGGAAATTAAAATTTATAAATCGTTTTATAAATAAAAGATCTCTACTCTGCCGTGAATTCGAACCTAGCAACCTTTTGATGTACTGATTACTAGTCCACCGCCTCAACCACTGCACTATTCCACCGTCACAGTATTTAGATATTTTCAAAAGATTCAAATACATTCATTCAGGGTATTTGAATATTTCCATTAAATTTGAATATTTCCAATGATTTCTCCTGGATATACGATTATACGTTCCTTATTCTGGATCAATATTGGATACGCCACTGTATTCGCTTTGTGCTCGACGTACCATCCTTTTTGTTTTCTCCTCTTTTCCGAAAAAAAGTTCTGTCGCGAGTATAACAAAGAAAATTTAATTTGTGTTACGGTATAGCTTTCCACTGGCATAAAATTGCAGACGAAAGAATTCAATGTTGTGTACTTGTCATTTCCTGGAAAGCTGGCTGCTTGTCTTCCTCTTCAGTCCGAGTGATATTTACAACTCGAATATTGAAACTGAAGTATTTCTAACAGGATGGAACGAAAACCACTGCAAATGAATACAAATTTTTGAATTCACAAAAGTCTGAAGTGAGGTCGGCATGGGTATTGAGTAGGCCTGAATAAATAACGATATATAATTGCAAAGATATCGATAACTATTGATTACTATCGATAATTATCGATAACAACCGATAACTATCGATATATCGATAACTATCTATTTCTTTCCAATATAGTGGACATTGTGACCCCTAGACGCTTTTGTAATATCCAGACAATAGCTCTAATATTTTTGAAATTTATTTTAATTTGTTCAGTTAAATATGACGCATTATATTCTCACCATTAAAGTTGATTCTATACTTGTTAGTAACTAAGATGTTTTGCTTAAATTCCAGGAACATTAAAAACATCAATTCGTTTTCAACCATAACATCTGATCTGATATCACATGTCTACATAGTTCCAAATGAAACTTAAAGAAAAAACATTTCCGAGCAAATTTTCTATGAGTTTTGTTAAATGATATGACGCATTATATTTTTACAATAGAAGTTTATTTCACTTGTTAGAAACTAAGGTTTATTAGTTTTTTATTAAAATTTTATGAACATTGAAAACATCAATTTGTTTTCAACCATAACATCTGACATAACATGTGACTGACTGAGTGACTTTTTTCAATAGATAAGATAGATCGATAAGGCGTTTTATTTTTGACAGAAAAAATAATTGATTAATTAATTCCATTAAGTTGAGTTAAGTTGCTATATATAATAAGTAACGTAAAAAAAAGAGCCTTCTAATTGGTTGAAAATGAATTTATGAAATTCTCCCTATATTATCGCTCTAATGCAATGCATCGCCCTGTATATAACTCAGCTTGTTAGAAAACACTATTCGTATTTTTGTGGCTCATTGATATTTTGAGTATTTTCTTTGTTGAAATTTGATCGCCCTGTATAATTCCAAATTGGAAACTGGAGAGTGGAAAATACACTTGTATATACAAAATAAATCATTTTACATTCAAATTTTATGCACCCTCTGTTCCACAAGGTGAGGGAGTATGATTTTATCAACTTCACGCGTTCCATTATTTTTTTCATACCACCTTGTGGCCAGACCATAAATGAAAAATGTTAGCGGATTCACTTTGAATAAAAATACTGGTTAGTGTATGGGCCTATATTAACTTTATTCGGAAAGTAGTTTCATAAAGTGGAGTTTTGGAGACTGTGGATGAATAATCAAATAGCTACAAAATATACTCAAAATACCACATAATATTAGGTAAGCCAAGATTCGAATTTTGGAAACTGAGTTGTCATCCTCAGTATAACTGAAAAATAAATGAAGATCAGCTGACTCTATAGTACTGAATGTCTTGGGGATACTTCCTTTGGTAAAGAATTGCAAAACTTTGTCGTTCTGTAGACGAACGGTCTTTGGTAGAGAGTTGTTCGACATATCTCGAAGTTGATGACGAAAGGATGTGCTGACTGGGATTGCCTAGTTCGTTCGAATATTCGAATGGTATTGCTAAACATGGAATGATACCAGATATTCATCAAGAACATTTCCTGTCTTCTAATGTGGCCAAAGACTTAGTAAGGGTGGCATCATACCCACCAGGCGAATAGCTCGCCTCTGGATGGAATCTAAGAGCATCAGCGTATTATGTTCGTATGCTGAACCCCATAATATGTTCCAGGACAGGGCGATATTCATTGGCAGCGTTGACCTGCCTCCGTTGTCAGTTCTAATTTTTCTGAGATGAAGTAGGAATTCTGGAATAGAAGTGATAGAACGCAGTATATGGAGAGTACTATCGTCTGCAAAGCTGTCGATGGGGCATGTGGTGGCTCCCAATAGATCATTGATATGGAGTAGGAACAATGTTGATCCTTGTGGAACGCCGGAATTGATGTTATCAGACGATACTTCGTCCACCACCACATCGAGCGATCTGTCTGAAAAAAAAAGAGGGCATATAGCTGATGAGGTAGAAAGTCGTATGATTGCAGTTTGTGGAGGAGTCGTTGGTGCCAAACATGGTCGAATTGTATAAAGCTTCCCATTCTCACTTCGACAAAGAGCTCTTTGATTTATGAGAGCAAGAAAATGTTTAATTATCTGCCTATATACCTACGGGAAATTGAACATGAACTTAAGTTTAGAAAACAAGTCAGAAAGTTTCTAATTGTCAAGGCTTATCATAATTTTTTATATAAGTCAGTCATAATTTTTTTTGTCTGTTACTCAACCAAAAAGATACATATAATAATGATGATGGAAAGCCCTAATTTCGAGTGACAATGGAAAATAAAAAAACTCCACCGCCCCGTGCGAGAGTCGAACTCACAACCTCTGGGTACATGCCCAAGGCTCTGCCAATTGAGCTAACGGGACATCCGTCGATCAATCGGCAGGGAGGTCGAGCTCTCATCAAACACCATCAGGCGGCAGAATCCTTCCAATTTCTTGTTATCCTAAATCTTTGATCATGTTTATTCAACCTATATGCTTTGTCAATGAGAATCACCTTTCTTTCGACAATAAAGCAAATTTTGATTTGATTCGCTTTCGCTAAATCGAACTTTTCATCTAGAGATTTCCCATGTTTTTCCAATGGAGCTCGCCATATATAGGTAACGTAGACAAAAACATCTCTAGTTGATTATCGATGGTGAGAGCCATATTGTGTATCATTAATGATTCCTGAGCTTCGCAGATGTTCAATAAGCTCAATATCGATAGCTTTCTCCAACACTTTGGGAATAACTGAAAAACCTATAGTCATTGTCAGGTTTTTTTTGTTTTTTTTTTGGAGATTGGTTGGACTCTAGCTACTTTCCAGTCGATTGGAAACTACATTGGAATAAAACCGAGCATAAAACTTAATTTTTATTCAGAGACGAGAAGAGAAAATTACAAAAATCTATTGAGACATGAAGTACACTCTAAATATGTAGAGGCAGAAGTTCTGCTGGCAAAATTGATATACCGTACAGGAAATATTATTTCAACTTATATATTATTATGATTTTTTGTCGATTATTTCAAATACAGGTTAACAGAACTGATTATGCAGTGTGTGTAATAGTTATGCAGTTATGCAAAATATGCGATTGTTTATAAACTGGTGTGTAATATAACGATTAAGTTGAATAAATGGATATGCGTACACAAACAACCTTGTGTAATGTTTAATCAAATTATGAGGTTGGTAATGAGTTCCGTTTTGTTAATTCAACAAGTGGTATACAGAATATTTAGTGCTACTAATTACAGGATAATTATATTTTGATTACGTTTTCAATCCAGTTCTCGGTTGGTGTATGCCGATTAAATCTTTCACATGGTTGAGAGTTTGCATCTAATACTAGTTATAATCTACCACTACCCTGGGACTTGAAGTTGCACTTTCAATCCTGATGCGGTTCGCTGAAGGAAACAAATTACATCAGTCCCTTGATTTATACAGGGTGAATCACGTAGGTCACACATCAGAAATTCTCCATTTTTTGGTCGGATTAAAAACTTGAATATTGGTATGCTGTTAAAATTGATCATTTTCTGTCTTCCTAAAATATTTTTAGTCCTCTAGCTATGCATTTTTCTTCACACGGTTCGATTGGCCTTATGATTTTTGATGACAACCTTAATTATGTCAACTTATGTATAACAGTTTTCGAGATTGGTTTATAGTTTATTTTTCTGAAAATAATCACCGCGTCATTGTTGTTTACACTGAGGAAGTATTCCCAACAACATAATATAATCTCCAGAAGATCAAAAAACAATTCCAATACCTACCTCCTATCCTCCCTAGGAATGCACGATGTTCTTTGAACATCATAGGGATTCCCTTTTGTGCGCTCCAAGCGATAAAAAAAACACCAAATTCGTGGAACAGTTATCTGGAATTCCAGGTCAACTCCTAATATACAGCGTGTCTCACTTTAAACGGCCTCCCTCTATATCTCATTTATTAGTCATGCGAATCCAACCAAATTTGGTGTGGTATGAATAACCATCAATATGATCAGTCTCACAGAGATGCACATCATTTTGGACAGTGCCATGCGTTTTTATTGAACTAAAAAGTGGTCGATTTTTTATCAAATCCTATAAGGCATTTTTTTACAGGAAATCTATTCTCATATTATTGTTCCTCATGCTTTCGAACCCCCATATGCAAAAAATCACTTAATTCCGAATTAACAGGATTGGCTTAATTTTTTTAATTTTCAGTCTCGAATAAATAGTGACTTCTAATCAACTACGAATTTTGGAACGTTCAATGGCTCCGGAAGATGGAATATCATGATTTGGAAGGAAAAACGAGTTGATACTTTTTTATGTTGACCTCACCGTTTCCGAGTAAATAATTATTACGTTCGCAAAAATGCTGTTCAGATGTGCCTGTTTTTCTGAAACCCTTGACAGGCATCTCATGAAAATCGACGTATGTGGGTTTTAAACCATGAAGAACAATATTATTAGGTCAGTTTTCCTGTGAAAAAATGCCTAATATGATTTAATAAAAAAACTGACCCCTATTCATACCAATAAAAATGCACGGCACTGTCTAAAATGATGTTTCTCTTTGAAGAACTGGTCATATTGATGATAATTCATGCCGATACAAATTTGGTGAAGATAGCACGACTATAGCTGAGATATAGAGGGGGGCCGTTTGAAATGAGACACGCTGTATATATATAATATTGATTAGATTAATTTTTAATTTCTTGTTGTTGGTTTGTGCAGGCATAAAAATATATTGCGTAGGTAGGTATAGGCAGTTTATATCTCTATTCAATTTTATTGATAAATCTATTTAACTAGATTGGTTAAAGATTTTATTTCTGACAGTGACATTATATGCTTATATCGTCATAGTTACGATATCTATAATGAGGGTCATAACTCCCTTGGGATGTTATAGATGCTATAATTCCCTCTAGCTAAAATTAAATAAGAAATGCATAGCAACAACCACGCAATAACGTAGCAATAAGGAATCTCCTATTCGCGGTAGTCAAGATCATCATCTGACGTTCTGATGACATTGAAACTATACGGAAAAACATGTCTAACTTCCAATCGGGAAGGTATCTTATGAATGAAATCAGTCAGAAATAAAATTATCTATGTATCGGGCCAGAGCCTCTCGGGACGCAAACTTTGCCATCGGTAATTAAGGCCCTCATGATTCCCTTAATACATAAATAACTATTATAACCTCTGGTTCGAAGAAAAACTCAGATCATTTCTAGTTAGGCCTGGAAAAACCGATATATCCCGATTTGTACAATATAGACGCAGGCGATTGCTAAAAGTCGTATTGAAAAATTTTCGAAGACTCAATTTTTTCAAATGGCAAATTTTTTTTACACTATATTATGAAAGAAAAATGCATTCCTTATACCTAACTCAAACCTCCATCGTGTTATCCTATTCCTATTGGAAACCTTGAAACTTGAAGGTATCTGAAACTCACAGTTATAGTAATCTTATGTAGAAGTCCATACTTTTCTCTGAGTGGAGTGTAGTGATGAGAGGGTTGAAAAACACAAAATCATCTCCACATCTCTCACAGTTATAGTCATAGTCATAGTAAGTCTTTTGAAGTACTTGTTAAATTGCTCCTCCCATGAATGATTGTTATTCATCGAATGTATTTGTTAATCTTTCAGAGCCTTTCAAAGACTCTTAATTTCCTTGTCAGTACTTGACATTCATCAGGAGCGTGTATATTTTTGAGAGACGAAGTAAGTCTTCAGAAGTCGTTGGAAGACGTTGAATTCCTTGAGTAATCGGAAGTCTGTAAATATTCAGAAGCCTTTGAAATACTCCTAACTTCTTGTAGATTTTTCAAACTCTTCGGAATTCTGGATATTTTTGAAACTCAAAGTAGACTTAAGAAGACTTTGGAAGATTAACAACTTACTTGAAAGACCTTATATCTCATAGGAAGTCTTCGTGAACTTTCGAAAGACTCAGAAATTCTCTTTATTGTGCGTTTTTGAAACTCATTGAAGGTATGCTTGTAATAATACATCTCGTGAAAGTCATAGGAAGTCTTTGTAAATATTCAGAAGCCTTTGGAAGGTTTTTGATTTCGTCATAAGTCTTTGAAACTCACTAGGAGCCTTTGTTAATGTTGAAAGGCTTTTGAAAGACTTCGAACCTTGTTGAAAGTCATTGAACAGCTTATGAATTCATTGAATATCTTTGAATGATTTTGGAAGAAGTCTGGAAGTTTTTCGGCGTGTTTGTATAATTTCAGAAGACTATGGAGGTCTTTGGAGGCGCACTTATGATAATCGAATTTCTTTAGTTGTTCAACATCTTTGGAATTTTTGGAGCTGATTGAAATTCAGATAGAACTCTCTGACATTTTTGACAGTAATTTTATATCTACAGTCTGTCCAAGATAAGGTTGAACAGCATGGGGGGGATCTCGGAAACGGTAGGAGATACGAAACGAAAAAGTTGCGCATTCGGAGGCTCATATCAAGAGCCTTCGAAAATTTTGAAAATTATTTTTAGTTTTTTAGTTATATCGAAAAAAGTGAATTTTTGGAATTTATATTTTATTTTTTTTCTCCGTTATTATCAGAGATACAGAAAAACTGAAAATACTTTTTCATTGCAACTTTTGATGAGGTTTAACGTGGTGATACCGATTTTTTTATGCGACGTTTCGTATTCGTGGAACCATCATCAACTTTTGTTTTTTGAATACGGTCCTGATAATTTTTTCACAGATTCTGAAAGGTTTTTTTATTCTGAATTCAACAATGTACTATACAAGGTAATTCGAATGTGTTTCGACCTATTTCTATCCATCATCAATGTTTTTTCGAACTTCCAAAAGAAAAAAGCCATCAGTTCCACTTATTTCTGATCATTTAGTGTCAAACTTGATGGATTAGTTATTCAATACTGAAAAGTGAATAAAAAATATTTCACTACATCATTCGATCAATGCAGCGTTTAAAATTGTTGATGAATTCTTACACGAATTACTTTAACAACTTAACTTTGACAATACCTACAGAGACATTCATACCAAATGTTCAAAACCATTATTTTCTGAACAAAGATATCCTCTCCTCACAGTTGCTTCTAAGACATTGATAAGCATTTCTGGGGTTATTCTATTGAATTCTTCGAAGACACTGTCCCTTAGTTCTTCTTCATCATCAAAGTTATTTGCGTGTACAAAGTTCGATATATCCCCTAAGAAAAAATCCAGCTGTGTCAAATCAGGCGACCGCGCTGGCCAAGGGATAAAAACGCACGGACTTCTCTGGAATTATGTACCGGAGCGCCATCTTGTTGAAACCAACAGTTCTGAACTTCCGCAATCGGTAAATCATCCAGAGCTTCCTCAAGATGATTCTCAAGCGGATTTCTATAACGTTCGGAAGTCTGTGTTTCATGGTAAATAGAAGGAACAATAATTCGTGTACCAAATATTGCAACCCACATATTAAAGCCGAAACGGTGTTGGTGTCTCGCTGTAATGTATAAATGTTCATTTTCTCGTGAACAATTATGTGTATTTTTTTTATCGAAGCTACCATGATTAGTGACCATGCTTTCATCAGTCCAGATGATTGTTCGAAAGAATTCTGCAAAGTTTTAACATTTCCTGGTATACCACTCACAGAATGTCTTGCGCCTTTCGTCATCGCCTGGTTTTAGCGCTTGACATATTCTGAATTTGTATGGATGGAATTTTTGTTTCCGCAAAATGAAATGGGTTATTGATTGAAACCAGTTGATGAGGTATTAGTGTGTTGACTAATTTTCCTTCAAAATAAGTGGAACTGATGGCATTTTTCCTTTGGAGATTCGAAAAAACATTGATGATGACCAAAAATAGGTAGAAACACAAATGAACCACCTTGTATAATACATGGTTGAATTCAGAATAAAAAAACCTTTTAGAATCTGTGAAAAAATTATCAGGACCGTATTTAAAAAACAAAAGTTGATGATGGTTCTACGAATACGAAACGTCGCATGAAAAAATCGGTATCACCACGTTGACCGTCATCAAAAGTTGCTATGAAAAAGTATTCTCAGTTTTGCTGTATCTCTAATAATAACGGAGAAAAAAAATAAAATAGAAACTCCAAAAATTCACTTTTTTCGATATAACTCAAAAACTAAAAATAATTTTCAAAATTTTCGAAGGCTCTTGATATGAGCCTCCGAATGCGCAACTTTTTCCCCATTTAACCGATTTCGTATCTCTTACCGTTTTTCTTATCTCCTACCGTTTCCGAGATCCCCCCCATGCTGTTCAACCTTATCTTGGACAGACTGTATATATGGAAGGTATTGGACATCTCTGGAAAACTGAAGGAGTTTGAAAAATCTTGGAAGTCGTTAAAACCTATTCAAATCTTCATTTATATTAGGAATCTGGGGAAAATAATTCATTTCAATTCCGAAATTGAATATTTTTTTAAATTTTGATTATTTTGTTTCAGGTGGGCAGCAAACCATGGATCTTGATGCCGGACACGAGTACAGGGGACCTGACGAAATTGTGCAACCACAAAAGAAAAATAATGGCGACAGCCTCTTTAGACTGCAAGCCTCCAGATCACGTCAAGCTGCGGAGAGGTATGTTTATTTTTTATCAACCTCTGACCCCTTGGTGGACGAATCAGAACACGTATTTTATGCCCCTGTAAAACAACCAAGGAAATAACACACTGATGATGTGTGTGTATTTCCTTTTTTTGCGATTGTTCCATGCTTGCTCATGGAATCGATTATATATGTATATTAGAAATTTTTTTATTATTACGTCTTCTTAGTGGTAGCTTAATTTTTAATCATGATTGGTTGAATTTAAATTCAATTCAATCGTTGCCGTATAATAATTATAATTTGAATTGTAATTCTAATAACGATTTGATTGTGAATCAGATTTCAAAGTATAATTTTTATTCTACTCAGTAGGTATTAGGAGTCTAATGTTTTTTTACGTAATTTTCATATATTATTTGATTAATTTATCAATTTGTTTATAGCTCATTTGATTCAGGAATTCAGTATTTTTATTTCCAAAATATTATACCGCACAGTCATTTGTCATTTTTGTTTTGGTAGTGTTATGATTTTTCCAAGTACATATATGTATAATCATTTTTATCATTATTGTTATTCATTAGTAAATATTGAAAACACGCAAGTAATAAAATGAATGTCTTTTGAATAAGATCTCGTCTATACCATGAAGATCATTTCTATTGATTTTTCAAAATATTTTGTTGAAACGTTTTTGTATGATTCAACATTTCATTTCCTCAAGCAGGGAGCATCTATTTTCGCCAGAAAAGTTATAATCAAAGATCCTGTTGCAAATTTCGACCGTCATCTGATAACGAAATGATATAATGTCCCAAAGGGATGTGAAATCATTGTATTCTATCGAACGGCAAATGTGCCTGAGCAAAATGATTGAAAGATTGCTCTTTCCTGTGCGGTTATTTTGCACTCAAGGTCGCGATTTGATAACAAGATGAGAATTATGCCATTCGATACCAATTGAATGAATGATTTCACAATCCTACCTTTGTCACCCCTCTGTCTGAGTCTAATACACGGCACAGCGATTTATTTGCTGCCGCCATTTCGGACATATCTCCGTCATGTGATAACGATTTGAAACAAAAAGAAACTGCGAAAGGGGATAATGTCCCCTTTGCGAATATTCAAACGTGCTGCGTTTCAAACTGATCTCGCCCCTCTTTGAAGATAATATCCGATGAACCAGTGTAAACCTCACGTGAGTTCTGCAATAGTCCATCAGATCAGTTTGAGTCGCGGCACGTTTGGATTTTCGCAGGGGGGACATTATCCCCATTTATTAGCTTTCTGTTTCAACTCGTTATCACATGCCGTGGATTTGACTCAGTTTTTGAGATCTACCATTCAATTGGTATCTGATGGCATAATTCTTATCTCGTTATCAAATCGCGTAATTGAGTGCAAAGCACCGCACAGGAAAGTGCAATTTTGCAATAATCTTGCTCAGGCTAGTGTTAGGCACAGGTGCTTTTACTATGCCTTTGGTACATATAAAATTTTGTTATCAGATGTCGTTTAATAAAACATAATAGGAGGAACTCATGCCATTATAGTTCATTCTTAACTTTTCGAGCAAGCAGCATGTCCAAATATTTCTTATTCCCCATAACAAAATATCATGTGAATGTTGAAGATTTGGCAACATTGTGCTGAATGCTGGGAACTGACAAGACCACGCCCACAAGTCGTGCGCGGGGTTGTCACGTTCACCGATTCGAATGTCCTCTTGTGTGAATTAATATAATATTATTCAAATGCCCCAAAGGGTAGGAGGGTGATCTAGTCCTAAGAGCCATCTAGTGGCAAAAGTGCGAAGGTGTAAAGGTAGATTGTTTAAACAACCATATCTTTCGAGTACGTCGAATACAGTGTGTCCCACTTACCATGCTCACCATGGGTATCTTTTTAACGGTGAGAGATACGAGGTCGGTTAAATGACACCAAATGTGGAGTTTGTCAAGGCCAACCATAATGTGAAAAAATATTTTGATAAAATCTATTCGTTTCTGTTTCATACGCAAAAAACAGATTTTGATCATTTTCATGTCTCCTCCGTAACTTCTTTATTTATGAAAATATTCAAATAGGAATTTCACATTCTCATGGCAGTTTTTCGGAGTGATTTAAAAAAAATATGAAATTTATACCAACTGTTCTAGAATTTGAGATATCAGCAGCAACTTTAGTTTTTCAAATGTAGGTCATAGCTCACTATGACTCAGTTACAAATAACTTTTTTTTCTCTCTCAGATGATATGTCGCAGTAATAGTTTTGTGTTGATAACAACGGAGTTATCGTCATTTATACAAGAACAAACAATTATTTGGAAGCCGCCATCTTGAATTTATGAATTTTAACAGAAAAATCATTATCTCCGACCTCAAAAACCCCCACTTACCAATTTTGAATGGAATCGGACCAAATCTTGTCCGCCATCTTGGAGCAGTCATTTTTTATAATTTCAACAAACATTCCATAACTCCGATTAACTTGAAATTTGGCAGGTGTTCATAATTTCGGTGACAATACATTATGGAATCTTTGTTGAAATTTAAAAAAATGGCTGCTCCAAGATGGTGGACAAGATTTGGTCCGACTCCATTCAAAATTGGTAAGTGGAGGTTTTTGAGGTCGGAGGTCATGATTTTTTTGTTAAAATTTATAAATTCAAGATGGTGGCTTCCAAATAATTTTTTTGTTCTTGAATAAATGACGATAACTCCGTTGTTATCAACACAAAACTATTACTGCGACATATCATCTGTGAGAGAAAAAAAAGTTATTAGTAACTGAGTCATAGTGAGCTATGACCTACATTTGAAAAACTAAAGTTGCTGCTGATATCTCAAATTCTAGAACAGTTGGTATAAATTTCATATTTTTTTCGAAATCACTCCGAAAAACTGCCATGAGAATGTGAAATTCCTATTTGAATATTTTCATAAATAAAGAAGTTACGGAGGAGACATGAAAATGATCAAAATCTGTTTTTTGCGTATAAAACAAAAACGAATAGATTTTATCGAAATATTTTTTCACATTATAGTTGGCCTTGACAAACTCCACATTTGGTGTCATTTAACCGACCTCGTATCTCTCACCGTTAAAAAGATACCCATGGTGAGCATGGTAAGTGGGACACACTGTATAGACCCCTACGTCCATATTATTACAGAATGGCAAAAATGCCACAATTCTGCAGACTATCGAAACACCGGAATTCTTGCAGTGGTTCAATGTCCCATCGACAGATGCTGAGGGAACTATAATCTCAAGACTAATATAATTATTATTCACACAACATAATGTATTATAAGCAATAAGCCATAAATCATAAGGGAACATTTTGAGACAATTGAATTTGTATTGCTAATTAGGATTATTTCCAATACCCAATCAAGAATTTATGAATTATTATTGAATAGCTCGTATTTCTGAAGTTCCCAATCGTATTTCAAATCATGGCAACTGTGCTATGTACTGGCGATAAATTTCTATCCGTTTGAAAATAACCGCGACATTATTGATAATTTGAGCACCTAAAAATCTACAGAAAAATTCTTAAAAAATATGGAACTGAAAGGTATTTGAGTGATGATTCTATTTAAGAAATGAACAAAAATAGTCCACTCGCCAGCGAGTGTAGCGTATTATATGCTTTTTTCTACTCACATAACTAAAATGGCATTTATCGTACGGATATGTACCACGCTGAATGATCGATTAATCACGGATTGTCGATCTGTGATTTATTCAAAATATTAAACACGTTACCATGGCAACACGATTTCTTAAACACATCACCATGGCAACGCAGTTCATTAAACACAGCTTCAGTAATTCGAGACATGTCTGGCCTGTCAATTGTATTAACTGTCAACTGTTATTTTCATATTTTGTATCAGAATTATTCAAACAATATTCGTTTGTATCGGAATTCTTCATTAAAAATATATGCGAAAAGTAGAAGAGAGTGAAATCGAAGAGAATGTTCAGGTATTTACATACCTCCAAGAAGTGTAAAAATGAAGCATCCATCTTTGAGAACAATTTATTTATTATGCGCTAAGCATGACAATAAACGTGAAACAAAGGTTAGTAAGCAATGGACTGGACAGATCTACAACCAATATCACTTATACGTGTCTCGCTGGTTGCATGCAGTTGTATGTATTATGTTTTCAATTCCCATTCCTATCAAATTATTTTGTAGGTTAGCAGGTATAGCAGGTATGTTAATTAATGTAATTTTTGGAGTTCGTAGAAAAATCATAGTATGTAACGCGTTTATAAACTCTTCTAGACACTCGTTTATTAAACACTCGCTCCGCTCTGCTCCGCTCGTGCTTAAACTACTCGTTACTAAAAGGACGTTTATAACACTTGTTACATAATATACTATTAAATCTCTCTGAATATTCACGAGCAGTCACTGTTGCTCATCCCTATATCCCTGAAAAGTGGAGTGGCACTATTCGAATTTCTAATATCGGCCTAAGCAAACCTTGATTAGCGATTCAATTGTTTCTACATTGGAATACACTCTCGGGAAGGGGACTACAGTAGGTTTTCAATCCTTTGTTTATTATCTTTCAATAATGCAAATTGTAATATTATTGAGATTGCTTCGTATTTCTGTTTGAGTATTTGACAGGCGCATAATAGAATGGAATACAAAGCTCAATATTTGATATTGTCTCCTTGTCTCATTATTCGCTTGGTCGGAATATGGAAGGGACGTTTTCGACACTTTGGATTACAGGGTGAAATGACCAAAAAAAACTATTTCAATCGGAAGGAAAGTGATGAATTCGGTATAAAGTAATAGAGATAGTACAAGGTCCTCTTCCGATTAATTTCTACAGTGTGTCCACCTTAAGGACTTTCCACCTATATGTAAATTCGTTATTGTCTGACCGATTTCGAAAAACTTTTTTTGTTGGATAGGTATTTGAGTTGTCCATGCAACAGTAGAGTGGTTTAATTCTTGGACTGTTATCATGGCCAACTGTAAAGTGTATTACCA